TAAAAATATAGAGTAGTTTTAAAGATAAAAAAACCTGAAGATGATGCTATGCATTGAAACATGTAGTAATATAAAGCGCAATACTGTAACATCGTAATAACGATGAATAGCGCAAAATATCAATATTAATTTTAAATTTTAACATCAACAATTTAAAGTTTGTGTATAGACTTGAATTATATTATATATTTGAATTTCAAACCTGTTATTTATCATGTTGCAACCATGACAGTAGAATCCCTAACCAAGAGTAGTATTTGGACATGAGAAGGAAGGATAATTGGCGGTAGTGACAGATTTTATAGACAGCTGTTCCTCGTGCAGGATTCAAACATGCGATCAACAAGCGGTTGGTAAAACAGAGATTCAACTTACCACTTTCATTTGCGAACTTCTCACTGCTCTTGTCGAAGTATATGCCCCTCTCATGAGAAGAGCTGTCCTTGTTTACGGGAACTGCGAACAAACAGCAGGTGATAAGAAGATCTTAGCAACTCTTTAAGGCTTGATTCACATAAATATACGTGGGATTAGGTAGAATTTTGAGGTCTGACAAGTGATTGTTATTCTACGCGAATCCTTTCCAGAACTGGAGAAGGATGTAACGATTTAAACTTGTTTTGTACGGGTTAAAAAAATATATACTGTCCCTCATAATCCAGGGTGTTCGATGACTATTCCTGACGTAATTTTCAGTCAGGAATGTCATACGAACTGCTTCGATTCTCAGCATGGAAGATAAAAGTGTTGATTACATAAGCACTTCCAGCGAAACGGGGCACCCCCCACATTCTAGTGTACACGTGACGGAGTACCTGAGTGATCTGTTCACTGACCGATGGATTGGTCGTGGTGGTCCAAAGAAATGGCCACCACGGTCATCGGACTTCGCTCCTGAAGATGTTCTTGTATGGGGCTACGTGAAAAAGAAGGCGAATGAATGCAAAGTAAACACAAGATAGGAACTTCTTCACTGAACTTTCGTTACTGGAAGGCCTGATGGTCTACGTAAGGTTCAGACTGTCTTGAATTTAAAATATCCACAGCTCCGTGACCTTTTAAAATCGGAGCCGGATGGCATTTCTGACTGGGAATGATATAAGGCATGGTGTCAAGGTATTCAAGAGATAAATACATGCTTCATGTACATTACATTGTCTGTCGCAGACAGTGAGTAAAAAGCTTGGGACAGTTACGTTCTTCATTTGTTTCTTTTTCGGCGTCTTCGAACAAAGTTGCAAAAATGCGCCAGTTATCTTCGCCAAGTCTGCCTGTTCACATGTAAAAACTTGGGGAACAGCTGAACTGATTTTTATTAATTTTATATTAGAAATTTTCACTATAATTTATCGAAAAACTCTGATTTAGTTTAAAATTGGACAACGGTAGCAGACATCTTAGATGGAGACCTACATTCAAATTAGGGACTTATCATTCGAAAGGAAGAAGCAATGAATTGAACGAAGTGTTTTTTACCGTTGCAAAATTGTATATAAAGATTTCTGAACTTTTTTTTAAAAACAAATTATATTAAGTAAAACCACTGTGTCCTTTGAAGACACTTTCACCCTTTTGAAACATGTTTAATTAGTTTATTCTCTTTATTTTTTATGTTTATTTTATTTTTTTTATTTTATTATTATTATTTATTTATTTTGCTTTGCTTTGATTTGAAATTGCGTTGTCTGTTGTATACATTTATTACTGTTTGCCTGTTAAAGATTTCTTGCTCTTGGCAAGTATTCTAATAAAGGGACTGAGATGGACTGAATCAAGTTATCGTTATGTGTTTTACAATACAATAGTGCGGTCAATCAGCCTTCCGATTAAAATTTTTCGTCGTGTTAGGCGGGACAACCAACTGCATATAGCGGACTGGCTGTTGTCTGGGCGAGTTCAATAGCTACCGGGTGTTCTAAAGCGCAATCAACTTTGAACCTGACCACTCACGTGCATCCGATAGAGAAGTCTAGAACATTTATCTCCTTGCCCATTATACATCTTGATGGTTATAACTGTCATGCTTACCGCTGCTCTAAGGGAAACTAAATCTCTTCTGTCGTCTTATGTTTGGACGCAAAACACGAGAGAAATGCGGCTGATTAAGACGCTCCATTTACTGTATTATTCACTGTCGTCTATGAAGAATTAATTTCTTACGCCTGGCATGCTTGAATAACACAAAGAATAGCTGAGCTACTGACAGCAATCTGTTGTAGGGACCGACCTTTGAACATTGCTCAGGAGTAATTTTATTTTGGTCTAGCTGCAACTGCGATGGCGTGTTAAAATCCCACGCCTGAAATGTCATCCATGGTAAGCCTAATATATGGGTAAAAGATGTGAAATGGGATTACAGTGAATATGTGTGCTTAGCAAAGAGCCCTCTCTTGGGAGTAGACGGAGTCAAGATTAATATTCTTCTCAACCCAAGTTTCCATGCCTGGTGAGTCAACACGTGGATCAGTTCTGGATGTCAGACTGACTTTCTGTTTCACTTTGGAAGCAGGCTGTAATTAATATATAATGCCCTCGGGGAACGGCTACACACGGAGTGGTTATTAATGTACTGTTTCCTATTCCAGCAAGATCATTGCCTCTTTGGTCAGTCAGTGAGTCTTGAGTGTTCATTTACCTGCCCGACAGACGATGAAGGAGAGCAGACACAGTCCACACACGAACCACATTGTGTTCGTCTTCGTTTCCTGTAACAAACAGTCACAAGTCTCATTTACTGTGCATACCAGTGTGCAGCAAGGCATTAGACATAACGTATTGTATAAATTTACTTCAGCCCTGAAAATGTACTCAGCACGTCCCTCCGAGACGTTGGTACACAACAAGGAGACTACAAGGGGCATGAACTCAGAATGTCCTAAGTCTAGAAGCATACGTAATATTAGAATTCTGACACATCTCTGTGGGATCTGAGGTTTTCTCGGCGGTGAGTCTGAAGGACCTCTGAAACGTCGGTAAACTTCTACCAGACTACACGGCGCAACAACCCATAAGAAAGCCATCTTCAGTATATGGGTTATTAACCCGCGGTCCGCATACCGATGTTTTTTTGTGACACGTGTGATAGGGCTCTTCAATCACTCGGTCTGACGAGAAATTCTCGCTTGGTATCAGAAAACACGTGTTGTTAATGTCGTATCGGTCAACAACTGTGATAAACTATTCAGCTTAATGATGAATGTCAAATCAAGAACTAGGAAGCGTCTTAATGATGAACATTTGAAGGTCTGCATGCGAATTTCAGTAACAGAAAATAATGTCATATGTTCCTGCTAACGGCTAGTCTTGATAAAGGAAATTCTTGAGTAATCTGTGAAACTATTTGAAATAGTAGGTCTAATTTAGTAGCATTTATAATAAATTTCCATGACTTTTCAATAAATTCCCCTCGTATATAACCTTATGGCATATGAATCAATAAGAAATGGCTCATGTGGCCTAAGGTCTGCAAAAGGTTGACACCCCTGCAGCCTTCCTCTCCATAATGTTGGCAGGAGAGACAACGTACGAGGCTTTAATCCTTTTAAGCACGAAACTCGTTTAAACAATCTTTAATAATTCTGTTCTTGCAAAGAAAAAAAATAAACACACAACACTTAACCGTTGCATAGACCATTTGGTTAATGCTGTTCGGGTTATTAATCGTCCTTTATTCTGAGAACTACACAAAACACAATTCGTAAAGTGCAGAGTTATGGGATGTTAAAGTTGGTGGTACAAATGGTTATCATCACGCTTTAAATGTAAAATCGAAGGAACAAGCAAACAATGGCGATACGTCAATGGATAATTATAGTTCTTAACCAATATAACTGCTGTATTGTGTCGTTTGGATCACTTGAAAATTTTAAAGAAACATGCCCAGCCAAGACCGCGTTAACAACCCAATGTAATGGGACGGAACATCAAGAAATGGATGTTTCTGTTTGTACTGAAGACCCCTACCAAAATTCAGTGAAAGTTCCTGAGAGCGGGGGGGGGGGGGGC